AAGCTTTGACCAAAACTTGTCTATAACGTTTTCATTCCTCAACATAAGATTAATCATACAGTTAGTCTAAAAGACTAAAAGATTTGCATCCCTTCAAAGAATGGTAGATATTATAACTGAGTAAGTGATACTGCATTGAGACACTGACAAGACATAAACCTGATCACTTCTCCATGTGACTTTTTCTCAGGCCGTGGGAGAAGATTTTGTATTTAAAACGAAGATGATAAAACAAAAAAGACCTCCCTACTCTCTATGTTTTTTCTTCTCTCTGTTTTACCCAATTTATCTGCCTGTGCTTTTATCTCGTCACATTTTGTTTCATGTTTCATGCTTTTTCACTGTGAGCCCCCCCACCCCCCACCCCACGCTCTGCACACCCACATCCTCAGTCACAGATTGTTATACTGGAACAATAGCTCCACTTCAACTCCATCCTGTAAATCCCAGCTAGAGAATGTTGGAAGTATTTGTGAAAGCGGTGTGCACCGCACCACCTCAGCTTTCGGCTCCTTTCTGGGCACCAAGCCAGAGCAACAGTTTTGTTATTTCTCTGCAGCAACTTTTTAAAATGAGGCTGTTAAGCAGCAATGATTAGTTTAGAAATGCAACGTGTATACACACGAGAACAGTTTCTGTTCAGATCAGTATTTTCCAATGCATTGAGCTTTTAAAATGTCCAGTGTTGAGTTTATAGTTTTGTCATGGTGTGTGTTTTTTAACAGATTGGTCATTCGTTGGAGTGATGTTCTGTCAAATAGTTATCAGAAGTTGGTAACTCATCAGTCGTGACTTTAGTCATAAAGTTTGGAGTATGGAGAAAGTGCCGAAGTCTTACTCCAGGCTACGCTAATAGCTTGCCAAACGAGGGTCTATGTGTTAATTGGTATTTCAGGTTTAAAAAACAAGTATTTATGAAAATGACATACTGGTGTGAAAGAATGCTTCATTAGTTAACATTACAGTAAACTTCTATGCATTTACATGACATTGTTTTTCTTTTCTTACAACCCCAATTACAAATTGATTATGGCATTGTGTAAAAATTAAAAGAGAATGCAAAGATTTCCATATCTCAAAAACATTTTATTCATAATATAATATAATGAACATTTCAAATGTTGAAAATAAAATGGTTAATTAACTTGTGTGTGTGTGGGGGGGGGGGAATAAAATGTTTATAGTGACACCTCAGAAAGTTGTGAACATGGACAACAAAAGACTGTAAAAGTAAATTATACAAATTAGAAACAACTAGAGCAGTATTTTGAAATAATTAGATCATTCGGCAACATGTCAGTGTGAGGACTGCGTATGAAAAGAGCAGTTTAGAGAGGCTGAATCTCTCAGAAGATGAGCAGAGGTTTACCAGTCTACAAAAACCTGCATCTAAAATAGTGGAATAATTTCAGCATCATGTTCCTCATTGAGAAATTGAGGACTAAGTTTCAATCATATACACTAAATATCTAAAAATGTCTACAATTTAGAGAGATCTCAGAGTTCAAAGGACGAGGCTGAAAGTCAATGTTGAATGGTCATGGTCTTTGGGCACTCAGGAGCCAGTGCATTATAAACTAAACTTTTTATAGGATAAATGTCACTACCTGGGCTCAGGAACATTTCCACAAATCACTGCCTGTAAACACATCACTGTTCCATCTACACATGTTATTCAAAGTTATATCATGCAAAAAAGAAGCCATATGTGAGGACCATCTAGAAATGCTGTCATTTTCTCCAGGTCAAAACCCAAGTTCATTTGAAATACAATAAGGTAAAGTGAAGAACACGGTTCATAAAACTGGCCACTCAGCCTGTTTTAGTTAAAGATTTGCCTCTCTGATGGTATGGGGGTGCATTAATCCACCCGGCATGGGCAGTTTACACATCTGGAAAGGCACCATCAATGTATAAAGGTACAAGTTTTAGAACAACATATGTTCTCCAGCAAAAATCCAGTAAAGATTCAGGACTTTTGATCTGGTAGAATTTCAAATCAGATAAGAATGGGACAACTGTCCCTTCTAGAATCTCTAGCAGCTGGTCTCCTCAGTTCTAGACATTTACAAACTGTTGAGAAAAGAAGAAGGTGCAGGAACCAGAGGGGGCCTCAGACTGGAAGGGTTTCAGGATGGAGGGGACCTCAGAGTGGCTGTGAGAGAGTGGCCACTGTGCTAAACAGGTGGGCTGATGAATTAAACCTTTAAAAAATGGAGGCAATCAGAAAAACTACATTTTTTTTGGCGAACATTCAGACCTTTTCTTAGCTAAAAACCAAGCATGTCACATTTTTCTTCTGAAAAAAACATATTGTCAGGGTGCTAAATAGTGTTTTTCCAGCATGTCCACTCACTTGAATGTTTATTACACAGTTCACACAAGCTTCAACTTTCCATGGTGATTGTAGCACAAAAGGGCGACGGCAACGTTCAGTGTTTTTCTTCTCCAAATGGGCTTTTCGGTCTGACACCAACGTGAATCACAGAAAGAATAACCAACAATGGACAGCTCCAAAGCTTCTACCCTTCATTAATTAGCTATCAGCATGACCTTTTCTCTCCATGTGATTGATTGCCTGAAAAACAATAACTATGTTGACACCAGCTTTTTCTAAAAAGTTCAAATATTTTTAGCCAGAAGCCCCCTGAGCAGCGGCACAAAAACAGTGCAGGAGCATTCTGAAATGATGCTGAAGCCAGCTCTTCATCTTTGGGGAGACATATTCTCACTTGTTTTTGAATAATTTTGAATGTTTTGTTATTTTAACGGGTTTGCAAGGTTTTACAATAAACTGGGAAACAGTCTAATTATATAAGCTATTGACATGTCAGTCGGAGTGAGAAACGATCAGCTAACACATCAGCCTATTAGCTGAAAGATATTTAAAGAACAGGTTGGTAGGTGAATGCAACGCAGGTGCAGTAAGTGTGAAATTATTAAAGTTCAGCGGGTTCGTTCAACTGCAGAAGAGTTGCTGTATGATTTGCCTCAAATCTGTGTGGAGTTTGACAACATTGCATAAGTGGTGCAGAAATCTTAAAATAAGGCGCACAATGGATATATTTTTAAACAAGATATTCATTATAGTTTTTACACTACATGTAGATCAGAAATTACTGAAGCTACTGCATTTATTTTTGTTAATAACCACAAGACTGTTATAGCCACCCACCTATCGGTGTGGCCGATAGAGCTTGCAGGTAGCTGAGTGCAGCTGAGGCACAGAGCTGAAATCATGACATTCTGTGCTCTTTTAGCGCATTTAGAGTTTAGAAACATTGTTTAGAATATTGAATATATAATAGAATATTGCAAGACCATGTGAAGGGTTTAAAACATCTTTATATATATATATATATATATATATATA